TAATAATAATAATAATAATAATAATATAATAACAACAACAATAATAATACTTATGATAATAAGAATAATAATAGCAATAATAATAATTANTAATAATAATAACCCCTTCTAATAATAATAATAATAATAATAATATAATAACAACAACAATAATACTTGATAATAATAATAATAATAATAGCAACAACAATAATAATAATAATATAATAACAACAACAATAATACTTATGATAATAATAATAATAGCAATAATAATAATAATAATAATAATAATAATTAGTAATAATAATAACCACTTCTAATAATAATATAATAACAACAACAACAACAACAACAACAATAATAGTTATGATAATAATAATAGGAATAATAATAATAATAATAATAATAATAACCACTTCTAATAATAATAATAATAATAATAATAAATAATATTTAAAATAATAATAATAATAATAATATTAATCTAATATTAATCCAGGAAAAAAATCTTTTTTAAAAACATTCATTTCTAGATGCAAACTACATTCGACACCTTTCTTTTTCAACAACCTTGTTGTTTTTTTTAGGTTTACAAATCTTCATGCTTGAGCTTAATGCTTTTACTAATAGCTACTACTTGACAATGTTAAGCTTTATACCATGGTTGGTGTGTTTGTGCATGCATCTCGTACCTTTGTAGCGCCCCACGTTTCATTTCCAAATTCCTCAGCTTCTTTCACATCATCTGAGATGAAGAAGTTGTCAAAAATGGTGCCAGACTTCACCTAGAGAGAAAAAAAAACAAACAAAAATTAAACATTGAAAGGGTGCCTTGTATACTTGTGCCCTTTCTGGATTGTTAAATACACAAGGTTCATGCGTGTCTGTTCATAGCTATATTTAGTTCATGTTATATATAAAAATGAAAAAAAAACAAAACAAAGACAATAAAAAAATATGCATTTGACAATATTTAATACAATTCTATATTTATTTAAAAGCTATAAGTGGCTAAATTACTACTTTAATAAATGCATCTGTTTAATAACTATGTTTTGTTCAAATGCACTCAAATATATGACCTACAATCGAGAAATGGATAAAAAAAAAATCATCATTTTTAAAATAGGGTGTACTTGTTTTTGCGGAGAACTGTAAATGTAAGCATTCTTACCTGCCAGAGATCCAGCCCAAGGACTCCAATATTGTCGAATTTGTAGATCTGGTCATCAGGAACGTGTTCTGGGTTATCGATTTCAGGATGCACCCAGGCGCCCTTGTAGTTCGGGTTGTCAATCTGTTTGGGTTTCCACTCACCCTGCGCCATAACAGAACAATAATACAATCACAGTCTGAAATCAATGAGCACAAATAATTTACTTTTACTTTTTAGTAGCGTGTGAATAGCATGTGAATCTGTACCTTGTACTCGGGGTTAGGGATCATGGCAGGCTCCCACTCTCCATCCATGTCCTCATCCCAGTCTTCTGGCTTCTTAGCATCAGGATCGGGGATATTCTCGGGCTTATCCCAGTCCTGATAAATGTCAGAAAGCAGGATTTATAAAACTGACCTTCTCTGCCATTTAAGTCTATAATATTATTATTTGTTTTAACCATTTTCACTGATTGTCAATCATTAAGCAAAAAAATAAATAAATAAATGTAAAAGTTTTGCAAAAAGTATAGGTTTATTTGAAATATGTAGTTCAGTAATATGACAAGCAAGCAAAAAGTACTGTATTTGACAGTAAAAGTTAGTTAAAACGAGACGTTAATGCTGGTGAATTACACTTTAGACAGTTTAGTCTGCTTCTTTAGATTCACCATTAAAATAATTTAAGGTCCGACTCTTATCTAAACATGCAGCTCAACTCCTTGTTCAAGCTCTTGTTCTCTCCAGACTGGATAACTGCAACTCTCTACTAGCCGGGCTTCAGCTAACTCTATCAAACCTCTTCAGCTGCTTCAGAACGCAGCAGCACGAGTGGTCTTTAATGAACCTAAAAGAACACATGTTACTTCACTACTCATCCGTTTGCACTGGCTGCCAGTTGCTGCTCGCATCAAATTCGAAGCTCTGATGTTTGCTTACAAAGCAACCTCTGGCTTTGCTCCTTATCTGCTCTCACTTCTGCAGATTTGTAGGCCCTCCAGAAACTTGCGTTCTGTGAATGAACGTCGCCTCGTGGTTCCATCCCAAAGAGGGAAGAAATCACTTTCCCAAACGCTCACGCTCAATCTGCCCAGTTGGTGGAATGAACTCTCTAACTGCATCAGAACGGCAGAGTCACTCACTGTCTTCAAGAAACGAATTAAAACTCAACTATTTAGTCTCCACTTCACTTCCTAATCTGCAATTGCCTCTCTGACCCCTCCACTAACTACATTAATAAAAAAAATTATAATAAATAAAAAATAAAAAAAATATTACTTATGTTTTGCTTCTTACACTTTCTTTGCATACCTGAAACTTGCCTTTAGCACTTATTCATTGTTGCTCTTATAGTTGTGTAAATTGCTTCCTTGTCCTCATTTGTAAGTCGCTTTGGATAAAAGCGTCTGCTAAATGACTAAATGTAAATGTAAAGCTGGAACAAAACAGAGCACTGTGTTGTCTCATTCTTTAATTAATCTGTTTTTAAATTAATAATTTTAGTCGTGGTTTAATTAACCATTCACAAATTCACCTGCTTTATTTCTGAACGAATCTACCTTTAACAATTCATTTGAATGAAAGATTCAGCGAGTCACTCATTACGGCTTGGACTTGTCGCCATTATAACATGGATTTGTTTAATTCCTGAACTAATCTGCTTATGAATGAGTCATTGAATCAGTGATCCATTCATAAAGAATCACCTGCTTAATTTCTGAATAAATCAGCCTTTTTTAACAGATCCTTTGAATGAAAGATTCAGCGAGTCACTAATCAAGACATGGACTTGTTTAATTCCTCAGCTAATCTGCTTTTTGATTCGATGATCCATTTATAAAGAGTCACTTGCTTCATTTCTGAATAAATCAGCCTTTTTAGCAAATAATTTAAATGAAAGATTCAGTGAGTCACTCATCATGACATGGACTCGTTTAATTCCTGAGCTAATCTGCTTTTTGACTCAATGCTCCATTCATAAAGAATCACCTACTTAATTCTGAATGAATCTGCCTTTTATGACAAATTATTTGAATGAAAGATTCAGCGAGTCACTTATTACAACATGGACTTGTTGCCATGATATGGATTGGTTTAATTCCTGAACTAATCAGCTTTTGACTTAATCATTTGAGTCATTAATTCAATGATCCATTCATAAAGAATCACCTGTTTCATTTAAGTATGAATCAGCCTTTTTAACAAACCATTTGAATAAAAGATTCAGGAAGTCACTCACACCAATGTCCATTAATTTCTAAACTAATCTGCTTGTAAATTAATCATTTGAGTCACTGATTCAATGATCCATTCATAAAGAATCACCTGCTTCGTTTCTGAATGAATCAGCCTTTTGTAACAAATCATTTGAATGAGTTTCAGTAAGTCACTAATCATGACATGTCCACTAATTCCTAAATTAATCTGCTTTTTAAATGAGTCATTTGAGTCACTGATTTTATGATCCATTCATAAAGAGTCACTTGTTTCATTTCTGAATGAATCAGCCGTTTTAACAAATAATTTAAATGAAAGATTCAGTGAGTCACTCATCATGACATGGACTCGTTTAATTCCTTAGCTAATCTGCATTTTGATTCAATGCTCCATTCATAAAGAATCACCTACTTAATTTCTGAATGAATCTGCCTTTTATGACAAATTATTTGAATAAAAGATTCAGCGAGTCACTTATTACGACATGGACTTGTCGCCATGATTTGGATTTGTTCCTGTACTAATCAGCTTTTGACTTAACCATCTGAGTCATTGATTCAATGATCCATTCATAAAGAGTCACCTGCTTCATTTAAGAATGAATCTGCCTTTTATAACAAATCATTTGAATGAAGGATTCAGTGAGTCACGCATCATGACATGTCCATTAATTCCTGAACTAATCTGCTTTTCAGTCATTTGAGTGATTGATTCAATGATCCATTCATAAAGAATCACCTGCTCCATTTCTTAAAGATTCAGCTACTTGGAATAAATCATTTAAATAAAGGTTTCAGTGAATCACTCTTTTTAGCAAGGACTGGTCACCATTACAACATAGACTGGTTTCATTCTTAAACGAATCTGATTTTGACATATGCTACCAGCACCATGCTACCATACCCCTACTGAACACAATACACTTCATTAGTGAAAAGACACCAGATCATTAAATGAAATCGAACCTCAGGTTTGGTGTCAGTCTCGTCATCAATCTTGGCCCGGTCGTCCCAGTCCTCGGGTTTTTTAGCTTCGGGGTCCTTGATCTTCTTCGGGGGCAAGAAATCCCAGTCCTCCTCCAGAGAGCCGGACTCCACCTTCTCATTATCAATCTTAACCTCATATGTCTGATCCGGATTCAAGATCAATGTGTACAGGTGAGTCAGTTCATCATCCTGGAGGAAAAAAAAAGAAAGATAAAGTTCAGTTAGACAACAAGCTTTAAAAGTGATCTCAAATGTCAATCATTGTTTATATTCAATTAAAGACGGAATTATTAGCCCACCTGTATTATTTTATGTTTAATGGAAAGATTTATTGGAGTGTTTTAAAGCCGCAAAGACCAGTCGATTCATCAGCGGATCTCTCTTATGTCAGCTTATAAACAGACCAGCTGATCTTCACGGCTTTAAAACACTTCAGTTTTTCTGCATCTGTATTTACACTTGGTAACAGTGGCGAGTTCGGTAAACTGATGACCTTCACGACCAATCACAGTGATTTCTGTTGAGCACTTGAACACAATGGCAAATCAGCACTGATTAAGAACGCGCTCAACAGCGCTCAAATGTTAGCGGGAAATGGACGTTTTTAAAATGTTAGTATCGATTGGTACCAAATTCCGTAATCGTGACAACACTACAATCAATCAGATTGTAAATGTACATGTGTCAAATTTGGTGTATTAAATTGAAGATTTTGCAAAAAAAAAAAAAAAAGATTTCATTAAACCTGGAAAATGAAAGTAATGTCAAAATGAAACAAGAACTGACCTTGCATTTGATATCTTTCTTGATGAGGTGGTTCTGTCCCTTATAGTTAAAAATGACGTGAACCTTTTTAGTGCTGTAGCCACAGATATCAGGCCCTGTTGAGAATATATAAAAACACAAAACATAATAAAATAACAGAAAAAGACACGCAGTAAGTAAAATAATTTTTTTTTTTTAAAAAGCTCCTCTCTATTAGAGACAGGTCAGGACAGCAGGCAGCCCAGCCAAATCACTACTTTCTTTTGAATTTCCGTTTTCCATACTGTCCCAACTTTTTCTGATTTGGGGTTTTAAGGAAAAATTTTTTTTAAAAAATGTCATTTTGGTTTTTCATATTTAATATCTCAAAGCACCACGTTTTTTCTATTTATTAAAAAAATAAGCATTTAATTTAATTAATTAAATATTTTTGTAACACTTTATTTTAAACTGTCCTTTTTACACGGGTTCAGTACTTACTATGGTAATTACAATCAATTATACATAATTAAATGTAACTTAACATAACCAATATATATTCAATGTAATTAACATTACTCAGTAGTTAAAAAGCCATGTTATAACAAAATCAAAACAATTGTAATTAGTTTTTTTTTTTTTTAAATGTATGCTTATTAAAATACATTAATATACGTGTACCAAATATATTAAGTACAGGTGAGAATAATGTTGTGTATTTTTTGATGAAACACTTAACTTTCACATTGTATATAAAGCCACTATTTTAAAATCTAATTTGAGGCAGACACCAAAACATCATTAAATTATATACAGACGTGGACAAAATTGTTGGTACCATTAAATTGAACAAAGACAAATCCACAGTGGATGCTGAAATAACTTAAAACTGATAAAAGTAATGATTAATCAAAAACGACTAAAAATTAACTAATGAAAATTAGATTTTGCTTTTAAATAGTGGTGGAACAGAAGCATTACAGGGGACCTATTATGCCCTTTTATATAATATGTAAAATAAGTCTGATGTCACTAGTGTATGTGAAGTTTCAGCTTAAAACACCACACCAATAATGCTTTCCAACTCTCTGAAACTGACCTTTAGGCTTTGATCCCAACTGTGGTGTTTTGGTGGCTGTCGCTTTAAATTCAAATGAGATTGTGCTCTTTTTCAAAAGAGGGCGGAGCTACAAATGCCTGTGTGTCAGCATAGTGGCAGATTCAATAACAAGACTAATAACCTATGCTAATGAGGGAGTGATGGTCACTAGTGGGCGGGGTTTTCCCCCTCTGATGACACGTACAAAAGGAGAATGTCAATTAAAGTGTTTCTGCAGACTGATTTCATCAAGTCTGATTATAAACAATACAAATAATAAATTTTTTACCACAAGAAGTTGCTTATATTATTATTTACACACTGCTGCCCATGTTTAAAACCCCTTAATAAAGCATAATAGGCAAACTAATAAACCTCCCATGGACAACACTGAAGTGTACCAACAATTTTGTCCACAACTGTATTTTAATGAACACGAGTCTGTTTAAAAAGGTGGTAACCAGAAATTTTTGCTCAATGTACCAAACATGATGTAATACTGGGAGTCGCCGTGCATGTCCGCCTGGTTGAGATCAGCTGGGAAGACTTTAACGTATCCGCCTCCACAGTCGATCTTCTGCTCGTGTTTAACCGTAAACTGGATCACCAGTGTTTTGCCCTCATTGCTAAAGGGCTCGAAGCGGACAGAGGTGGCGTAGAAACGAGCATCTTGACTGGTCTGCAGGCCTGTTGATGGACAAAGTGATAATAAAAGTGATGCAAAACTCAAATACAGTATACGTCAAAATTATTCACACTCCTTTTTCAAATCTCCTAAACTATACTGAAAGAACCAAAGAAATTCAATGAAATTACATAAAATATGATGTGATCTTTGAAAGAGCGTACCTGCATTGTGATGATATTATATTGTCATTCTGGCGTTATATAATGAATGCATAAAATGGTCTTAAAATGGAAATAATATCGCAATATATTTTGGTGCAATATATCGTACAACAATAGAAGACATTGTGACAGGCTTAATTAAATGAAATTAGATCAGATAAATATCTATTACCCATTAATTTTAGTATTATTACATAAATAAAGTAGCTGTTGGGAAATGTTATATTGCAAACAATAATAGCAACAATTATTGTATCGTATATTTTCCCAGTATTGTGCAGCCCTGTTTGACATGATTTTGTTGGCATTAAAGGGCCATGAAACCCCCTCGTTTCAGCAGGGTGTTCACACCTCTACTTTGGAAAAAGTCAGAAAAGTGGGCGTGTCCAGCTCTGTTTAGGGGGGAGTGTCGGAGGGAAGAAAAGTGGGATGGTGTGGGAGTGTCTATTTGGGCACGCGTGAGTTTCAGAGTCACACACGCACACGCACACGCACACACGCACACGCACACACGCACACGCGCGAGAAAGTGATAGTGTTTAACCTACATGGACATCTGTAGTCGAATTATTTGCCAAATTATTAAATGTTGGACTTTAACTGCAGTTTGGCTCTTTCATTCAGGGAATTCATTCATGCCCCTCGCGACACACGAGATATTTGATTCGAGGAACTGCTCTAAGCGTGTATTTTTCATGCAATGTTTTATACCGCACGGCAAATGAGAGAAAAAAACCTCCGCATTTCCCAGAAACTTAGATGCACACAGCAGGTAGCGTCAGAAAGCCGCGTGTGTTATTCCGGTCACTAAATGGGGTAAAAATCCTACACAAGGTTAAAGTTTGGTTGTGGTGCTAACATGTTTACACGGTGCAATAGTTTGTTAGATACGAACAAACTGAATAAACAAAGAGCACTGATCGCTCACTTACCAAATCTGTAGAGACAGGACAATCACCAGCAACTAGAGCCGCGTCTTTATAAAGAGAACACTACAAACGAATCTGGATCTCAGCGTTTGCAGATGAGAACAGCTCTCAGGTAAACAATAATCCTCCTTAGACACGTAAGTTATTGTTGTCGAGCGTCGCGTACACTGTTAATCCACACGTGACTCCAGCTGCGCTCTCACAGAGAGAAAATGAAAACGAAACTTAACTGCAGCAAACTATAAAAGCAACACTTCACGCTTGTTTTGCCAACACAACGTGGCGTCTCTGTCCTGAAAACACGGTGATAGTAATGAATATTAATGAAGTTGCACAATAGAGCGCGCTGATTGGTTTGAACCAAGCCTTACTCATGCATTAATGCATCACATTGTAAGACGTAATAAGACTCACTCTGGCACAGGCGTCCAGTCTGCACGCTGGAATACACGCTAATATGTCATGACCGTGACGCAGCTTCAAAAATTCATTTCAAACCGGAAGTACGATTTTGCTTGAAATAACGCAAAAACAACCAATTTACACTTTTTAGTGAAATATAGGTGTCCTAATAGTGTTTTTAGCAGCGTGGGACACATATACGACTGTCAACAGCTCAAAACATGTGTTTTGGTGTTTCGTGACCCTTTAAAACAAATCTATATTTTTGACTCCCTACACATGTATCCATGCAACATAAGATTGGTTTTGTGGTCCATGGTCACATATTTCATCATCTAGAAATTTGCTGAATGACCAGATGAGTAAAACGCATGCAAATGCTTACCCTTATCTTTCTCAGCGTCTCCGTAGAAGTTTCCAGCGGTCAGTTTAAACTGCCCGTAGTCAGATTTGTGCTCCGAATTAACCCATCGACTCCTCCAGGCATCTACAAAGTCAGATAATAAAAGTTAGCAGCACAAAAAACACAATGACTTAAAAAAAAAATCTCATTGTTAAGTTCTGTCTAGCACTTTATCTATGAACTTGTAGAGGAAATGAATGGAATTTATGAGTTTTACATCACACATTCATGACTGTGATATTCAAGGAAGTTTGTGGAGCAACTTAAGGCTGGCCAGAAACTTCCTGTTCTTGCAAATCCATGTGCAAATGGAAGATTTACTTGACTATAAAGTCTAAAATACAATCATTTCTTGTCCAATAAGTAAATCAATAAGAAAAGGTATTGAATAATGACCTATAAAATGTGACGATGCATGAAATCTAAGCACTGTCCCTTACATGGGATATGCCATTAACCTATATAAATAGTCGGCAGGATTTAGTTTACATGACAGAAATGATCAAGTTGTGATTTACGGCTTTTGCTATCCAGCTACAATGTAAAGTCTAAACAGGATACAGCGGCAGATCACACATCAATATAGCATCTTTATTGTAGCACAGTATAACAATAATTTATATTTTTACAGTACTGTAATGGTTGGGTTTAGGGTAGGCGTTAATAAAATACAATTTATTAGGTAATTTAATAATACTTGGTACATCTACCGTTTTTACATTATTGTGACGGTTGGGTTTAGGGTTGGGGAAGACGTTAATAAAATACAATAAATGGGAAATTTAATGAATAATATATGAAAAATTCTCTCATTATATTATATAATATTTATATTAGACAAATTTATATTTTCGTATCTGATCTAGTAACGAGCCAGCTATAGAGAGCCTCAGTGGGGAGGCAATTAAGCATTCATTAGAGTTTTTTAATTGGACAGACATTTGGCCACACCCCTAAGTACAGGATGAGTCATCCAAACCTTTTAATCTGTTGTGTTGGAACAGAAATGTATCATGTATTTATGTTAAACTAATAATTTATCAACTTTTAGCGTGCTAGCAGCATACAGTCAAGCTCATAGCTAACAAAACTACCAGATAAGCAAGTAAATAAATGTCAATAAATATGTAACATTATGCACTACTTAAATAATATACAGGGTTTCTACAGGTTTCATAGTCAAATTTAAGACTTTTTAAGACCATTTTAAGACCATATTGAATAAAATTTCAAACTTACACAAGGCTAAACGCTAAAGACTTTTTTATTGGCCAAGTTAAAAACCCTAAAAAAACAAATGATATTGTAAGGAAGATAATTAAACCATATTCATAAGTAAAAAAAAAATAGTAAATACAATTTTCTTAACTTTTATTGAAATATATTGTTAGTGATAGGATTGTTAATTATAGGAAATTGAAGACCTGAAGAATTGAAGACCCGTTGAAAATGACTTCAACCCTACAACACAATATTTCAGTGGAATTAAGACTTTTTTTAAGGCGTAAAATTTGTTTTTTTTTTACGACTTAAAGACTCTGTAGATACCCTGAATATATAATGTGCAGAAAGAAAAATAGTTTCGATTCTGCTCTGGGAAACTAATGTAAACCTATACTGCCAATATGTTATTCGATTCACTTTCCAAACATAACAAATTAAGCACAATATTATATTAATTGTTTATTAAAAAATTTATTTTAATGTTACTCACAAATGTTGTGACCTACAAATCAACCATGACGTGCAAGTTAAGCATTCACTCACCTCCGTCCAGAAACTGCTCGTTTAAGTACACTTCTGCATTGGCTGCCAGTGCCAATAATGCAGCCGAAATTAACTGTAATAATGAAATTTGCATCTTCGTTAATTAATTTTTTTTAAAGAAATGACTCCCGCACGCTCGCTCTCGCGCTCTGCTGCCCTCGGTTCCTCAGTTGCTCGGGAAAAGCGCGTGGCTGCACAGATGTCTACCGCTGATTGGTCCCCAGCTCACCCTCTCGACCAATGACAAGAGACCACGAAGTGCATGGCTCGCCTCCACACCGGATATTCTATCCGCTTCTTGTTCTGTTCTCAGATCAGTGGTTATAGTCCACAATGGTTATACACATAGGCATATGACAGGACAGAACTGACTCAGGATCAGTTTGTAGAACAACAGGGGCGGGAAGCCCGGTTAAGTGGGATTTTTTACCTCACAAACGAGACGTGTATGCGGAAAAAGCGGGGGTTTATAACTGTGATGTTTGTTCTCTTGTAAATATAGACTGCTTAATATGTAAACTAAACTCTGATACTGTCAAAGTGTTGAACATACTACACTTTATATTATGAAAAGAAAAGTTTGATGCATTTACAATGACAGACTCAATTTCACTTATGGAAAAGGTAAGTTTATAATAAAGATGTATTAGGTAAGGCTTTAGTTAACATGCATTAACAGCCAACCATCTGTTGAGCTTTACATAAGCTTAGTTAATTTTTTTATTGCAATAATAACAATACATTACAACAAATACAGATACAAAACTGAAAGAAGTATAGTACAATCAATAGAAATATTACTTTTTGAAAAAAGTGGATTGTAACAAATTTAGAACAAATATAATGTATGTAAAACAAATTAAAGGGAACAAGAGAGAGAAAAGAAGAAGAAAAATAAATAATTAAGGGCACATAAAGATAAAATAAATTATTGCAGAATATTAAATAAAGCACATATTTTAGAAGTTTTAATAGCTTTCTTATTGTGAGAGTCTGTGATGTTTTTTAAATAAAGAGCTAGTTCTCGTTTAAAAAATAAAAAATTAGGCTTACCATGAGTATATTTGCATTTGTGTATAAAAAACTTTCCAATAAATAAAATGAGGTTTATGCAAAAAGTTGCATTAAGGAATTCTTTTCCTTTAATATATAGCCCCAAAATAACATGACGATAGCTTAAAGAAAAATCACCACAAACCTTTTGGACAATTAGAGAGTTTACATCAGACCAAAAAGATTTAACAGTGGGACACTCCCAAAACAAGTGAGCAACAGATTCAGAAGAGGTTTCACAGAAAGTGCAAGAGATGTCAATGTCATTTTTGAATTTTTGTAAAAATTGTTTAACGGGATAAAACCTGTGAATAATTTTAAAAGATATTTCTTTAATTTTATTAGTTAAAAAAAAAAAATTCTGGGGGAGCGACCAGACATACGACCATTTAATATCATCAAAGTGGTTGTTCCAATAAGAAATAGAAGAAGGATTTAAGATGATACGGTCTAAAAATAAAGATCTGATTTTATGATTGGATTTTTTAGTGGAAAAACAAATAGAACCAACAACAGTAGAATCAGGACTAAGGGAACAAGCAGAAATCAATGAACTATTATTATTATTTCTAAAAAGCATACAGATTTCAGAGGAGATGGCCTTACAAACTATACATAAGCTTAGCTAATGTCAACAACATATATTAATTTCTTAATTATGTTATACTAACAGAGAACAACGGCTATTATTTAATCTTTTATAATGTTACTCCTATTCAAATGCATCTCTTTTACATTAACAGCTTAATTAGTTCATGTTTACATCAGCTAATGCATTTGTTCCTAGAACAGATAACATGACCAAACAATGAACAACACATTTATTTAGCAATAGACCATTTCAAAGTTGGCTAATGAATATTTCCTGCTTGTTGTCAAACGATTTCAAAACTGTAACAAGAGGCAATTCAATCATAACTTAATGTCAGTACAGCTGTCATAACATTATTTATCCATATGTGGATTTTTTTGGATTCTCGGACCTTATAGAAAATAAAAATGTACAACAGGAAATATGTTGGGACCATTGTTTTTGTTTACATCCCTCAAAATGATCTGTACTTAATCTGTTATGTAAACTAAACATATCAATGTGTTAATGAATACATTAGTTAACATTAGTTAATGCGTTAATTACATGAACAAATGTTAACAATGAGATAATGTCGGAGTATTGTACTCTTTACATTAAGGTTCCTAATTACATGAACAAATGTTAACAATGAGATGATGTTGGAGTAGTGTACTCTTTACATTAAGGTTCCTAAATGCTTCGTTAATGATGAATCATGTTGTTAATAAAGAGTTATTAATTTTGCGGTGTTAAAGTGGAAACCTCTGCTTTAACTAGCATGTTATTCATGTTTGTAAATTCTACTGACATGATTTATCATTAACGCAGCATTTATTGTCAATAGATGCATTTTATCAATTTAACTAATGCCTTAACCAGAATCAAAATCAGTTTTATTGCCAGTTGTGCTTCACACACACACACACACACACACACACACACACACACACACACATACACACACACACACACACACACACACACACACACACACACACACACACACACACACACACACTGTTACATTCCATTGTGTTTTGAATGTATTATTGTTTTGGTCTCTCTCTCTCTCTCTCTCTCTCTCTCCCTCCGTTCCTGCAACCTGTTTCTCAGCTAGGTGTGGAGGAGAGGAAGTTGATTGCTTGCACCTGCTACTCATTGCCCGGCAAGCTTAAAAGCCTGCCAGTTGCAAGCCACATTGAAGCTTGCTTCCAGAGTATGGTCTCTCTCCTGCCTGGTTGATCTATTGTGAAAAACTGTGCTGTTGTGTTTAACTTGTTGAAGTTAAAATCTGTTGTTAAAACCTCTGAAGCCATTTGAGCTCTGTTTCTGGAAACTAACTTTGTGTTTGGAAGCCGTTGGAAGGTGGGTGCCATTTTATTTCTAAAACCCTTTTTCTCTTGTTTATGTTTAGTTAGGGAGTTTGTGTACATTTCTGTTGTTGATTTAATTTTACTTTGTCAGTTTAGACTGTTTTACTCCCTAACTAGCTAGAGTGTACTTTTGTTTGTTGTTTTGGCCTTTCCCCCTCCTGAAGTCTATTTTTGCTTCCCAGTTTTGTTTTACTATTGTACATTTGTTAATAAATTATTTAACTTGAATTTGGTGTGTTGTCGTGAAGGCAGGGGACTGACCCACACTCACCCCAACCAACATTTTTAAAACTTTTCACTGTTACTCCCACTCCTAGACACTTACCATCAGGGACGTAACAACACACACACACACACACACACAAGAAATTTGTTGTGGCTACAGAAGCGTCCAGTGTACATAAAGTGACAACACAAAATAAATATGAAAAAAAGACAATAAACATTAAACAGAGATGCAGTTAGTCAAGAAATCTAGATGTTGATTAACTAATAAATTCTTATTGTAAAGTGTTGCAATACAAAACAAATTTCAAAGCCCAAATAAGAATTTGTTTACATAAACTTAACTTTGAACCAAGATGAGATTTTTCATCAAATAATTTAATAATAATAATAATAAGTTTTATTTGTATTGCACTTTTCCAACATACATGCCACTCAAAGTGCCTCACAAACAACAACAAAAGCGTTAAAATAGACCACATAAACTTGTCACATATACTCAGATAAAAGCATTCATGTACAAAAATATAAGCATAGATCCACATGATCATGCACACAATAGTCCTTACATATGCAAGCACACACGATTAATAAACACAAATCTACAACAATATAGATAAAATGCATACACCTTAAAAGCTTGTTTATTCATTCGCAATTTTAAAACGATGTGTCTTAACACGCTTTTTAAAAACATGAATACTAGGGGATTCTTTCACTTCAAGGGGGAGACCGTTCCAAATTTTTGGAGCATAATGGCTAAAGGAAGTGCCGGCCATAATGGCACTTTAATCACCTTTGACACCTTAAAATATAGTTTTTGAAGACGATGTGTCTTATTTTCTACATTTTGTGTTACATGTTTCCCTATTTATTTATGCTTTTGAATTGCATTATGGGAGCTTGATCTTTCTTCCAACAACTTTTAACTTTGAAAAGTTGAAAAAGAAGTGACTTTTATTGACATTTCTAATAGTTTTAAGCAATACACTTACTGGCCACTTTTTTAGGTACACCTTACTAGTACTGGGTTAAACCCTCTTTTCCCTTCAGAACTGCCTTAATCCTTTCTGGCATAGATTCAACAAGGTGCTGGAAATATTCCTCAGAGATTTTGCTCCATATTAACATGATAGCATCACGCAGTTGCTGCAGATTTGTTGGCTGCACATCCATGATGTGAATCTCTCGTTCCACCACATCCCAAAGGTGCTCTATTGGATTGAGCTCTGGTGACTGTGGAGGCCTTTTGAGTACAGTGAACTCATTGTCATGTTCAAGAAACCAGTCTGACATGATTCACGCTGTGACATGGTGCGTTATCCTGCTGGAAGTATCCATCAGAAGATGAGTACACTGTGGTCATAAAGGAAAGGATATGGTCAGCAGCAATACTCAGGTAGGCTGTGGCGTGGACACGTTTCTCATTTAATAATAATGGGCCCAAAGTGTGCCATGAAAACATCCCCCACACCATTACACCACCACTACCAGCCTAAAGTGTTGATACAAGGCAGGATGAATTAATGCTTTCATGTTGTTGACACCAAATTCTGACCCGACCATCAGAATGTGGCAGCAGAAATAGAGACTCATCAGAGCAGGCAAAGTTTCTCCAATCTTCTATTGTCCAGTTTTGGTGAGCCTGTGTGAATTGTAGCCTCAGTTCCCTGTTCTTAGCTGACAGGAGCGGCACCCGGTGTGGTCTTCTGCTGCTGTAGCTGTTGTGTGTTCAGAGATGATCTTCTGCAGACCATGGTTGTAACGAGTGTTTGAGTTACTTTTGCCTTTCAATCAGCTGGTACAAGCTGTACCCAGACCAGCAGACCTGCCTCTGCCAAAGTCACTTAAATCACCTTTCTTCCCTATTCTGATGCTTGCTTTGAACTGCAGCAGATTGTCTTGACCATTTCTACATTCTTAAATGCATTGAGTTGAGACTGGCTGATTAGAAATTTGTGTTAAC